GGGGAATGGTGGTGGTGGTGGTGCAAGAAAAAGTGGGAGGCAGCAGGGTAGAGGAGAAACACTAGTGACAGTGAGCCTGTCCATGGGAGTGAGGGGGATGGAGAGTAACTTATTGGACAAATGCATGCTTGCCTAAAAGCAGGGAGTTACAAGAGGACTGAAAACATTAACTGTTCCCTTCTCCCCCGCATGCAATGCCTGACCTGATACATTGCTTCGGTGTTTTTTTTGACCAAAAATTTTAGAATCCCCATCATCTGAAGTATGTTCTTTGTCACAAGCAGGAAAGGGATGTAACTTGCCTTTGCTGCTTGGGAATCCCTCATGTAATATCTTAACAAGTCAGAAAGTTTCAAGTCTTCATCAGATGCCACACGTCCTTCTAGTTTCTACAGAATTTAAAATAAAAAACAGGAATTAAAAAAGCAGTTGAGTATTTTGAGACACACAAGCTTCCAGTGCCCAAATGACAGGAAAACGTATTTCTTACCCGAAGTTTTTCAAAGAGTTCTGCAAGTTTCAGGAAGTTCCTGGAACAAGAGAGAGTGGAGAAAAGAAGAAAAAAAGAGAAGTGAATGGGTTACACAATTTTGTGGTTTATTTTAGAGACTCAGACAGGAGATCCAACTCACTGCCTGTTCTAGAGGCACAGCACTCGGCCAGAGAGAGAGAACTCCAGCCCCAGGAGGAGACTGAATGCACAGCTGAAGTTGCAATCAGCCCCAGTGCTACCCACCCACTACAGCTGGGCCCCCCACCCCCGAGGCTGGGGGGAGAAAAGGAAAGGAGTTCAGGGGAAATCACTTCCTGTTCACCACAACATTCAGAACTACCTTCCGGGTTTTCAAAAACTGGACAGATTTCAACTCAGAAACAGAACACATTTTGGATACTCAGCACGGGGTGAGATAGAGTAAAATTGCTCCCTCTAGTGTAGAGGGTGGGTTAAATATTGGCATCAGTACAAGGGGGACTCCATCCCACTGCTCTTCAGCCAACGGTGACAGTCAGATCTTTTAAACTGAGGTCCAACTTCACCATAGGTGGACGCAAACGTATCATCTGAAAAAGACAGCTCCTCCGACAGCATGGCACTGCCTCAGCACCTGGAGGGCGACTCCAACTCACATCTGCAGTCACACAGCAGCTAGGGGAGGTAGCGGCCTAGCGGTATTATCACTGGACTGATAATCCACAGACCCAGGTAATGTTCTGGGGCTGGTCCCAGTTTCAAATCCTGCCCCGGCAGATTGATTTCAAATGCCACAAAAAAAAAAGGAAAATAAGAGTCAAATGATGACCATCAATTCATTGCTGATTACTGGGGAAACCCATCTGGTTTGCTAACTGTCTTCAGGGAATTAAACTGCCATCCTTACATGCTCTGGCCTACATGTGACCCACAGCATGTAGCTGACTTAACTGCTCTCTATGCAATTAGGGATGGGCAATAAAATGCTGACCCAGCAAGTGATAGCCTCATCCCATGACTGAATGTTAAAAAGTGGTCACAGGTAAACACATACACTTTCTATAGCACATGCCATCAATTCAGAACAAAATAATAATCTCATACTTGCTAAGTGGGTTGGCATCCAGTGTTCCCAAACCAGATAAGGCAGAAGAGATTGGAATGTAATCTTCAGCGACATCTGTGGAGACACAAAGAGAGAGCAGACGAGCCACATGGTGAGACAGAGACAGGACCTAAGCTCCCATTATCTGACAGAGCTCAGCAGAGGTCCTAAAACGACTACCACCGCTCAAGTTAGCCACAGAACAGGAATGGTCTTTCCCCAGCCTGCTGCTCTGTATTTACAAATTGCCCTCTTAGAACAACATGGAGCCTCAGTTCAACGTTTGTGCACAGCACCCTGCCAGTGATACCATAAACAGGAGGCCGACACCATCCAGGACAAAGCAGCCCCCGCTTGATTGGCACCACATCCACTCCACCCACCACCGATGCTCAGTAGCAGCTGTGCATACCATCTACAAGATGCACTGCAGAAATTCACCAAAGATCCTCAGACAGCATCTTCCAAACCCATGACCACTTCCATCTAGGAGGACAAGGGCAGCAGGTACATGGGAACACCATCCCCTGCAAGTTCCCCTCTGAGCCACTCACCAACCCAACTGGGTTGGAAGTCACACAATGCCAGCTAACAGCCTGACAGGTTTATTTGAAATTACAATCTTTTGGAGTGCTGCTCCTTCATCAGGTGAAGGACAAAGTAGCAGTGCTGAAAGCTTACGATTTGAAATAAACCTGCCGGACTATAACCTGACATTGTGAGAATTCGGACTTTGTTCACCCTAGTCCAATATCAGCTCCTCCACATAGTGGCCTCCTGATCTGGAAATATATTGCCGTTTCTTCAATGCTACTGAGTCAAAGCCCTGGAATTCCCTCCCTCTTGCACATCATGGGCACATGGACTGCAGCAGTTCAAGGCAGCTCACCCCCACCTTCACAAGGAGCAATTACAGACAGGGAAATAAATACTGGGCCCATCAGAAGCCCCTTTGCCACGCCATCCCCAAACTCAAAGCTTTACTGCAAACTGGCAAACAGCCACAAGAAATGGATTACAAAGAATAGTGGAAAGTTTACTTTTAACCCAGACTACATAAAGCAAGAAGGCTTGATGTTCTGCAAAAAAGTTTAGATAAAAAAAGTTTCTCCTTAGCTTCTCCCCCAGTTGCAGTGACTATTCAGTCCTGGGCGTCACACCTCAGGAGGGAGGCACGTCAAGTCTTGGTGTTCCCATGTATCTGCTGCCCCTTGTCCTTCTAGATGAGAAGTGGTCATGGGTTTGGAAGGTGCTGCCTGAGGATCTTCGGTGAATTTCTGCAGTGCACCTTGTAGGTGGTACACACTGCTGCTACTGAGCGTCGGTGGCGGGGAAGAGTGGGATGTTTGTGCATGTGGTGCCAATCAAGGGGGGGCTGCTTTGTGCTGGATGTGTCGGCCTCCTGTTTATGGTATCACTGGCAGGGTGCTGTGCACAAACACTGAACTGAGGCTCCATGTTGTTCTGAGAAGGTTATTTGTAAATCCTGAGCAGCAGACTGGGGAAAGGCCATAAGAGGTCAAAAAGGGTTAAACGTTAAGGCCAGGAGGGAGGATGGGGTTCACACAGAGTGGGCTTGTAGTCCTCAGGCTGGAGGAGATTAAAACAGAAAAAAAAAGGTGATTGAACAGAGGGTTTCATGACAATTGGAAGGATTTGTTATAGAGACCACACAGGAATGAGGGAAGTTACGGCCTTGGGGTGGGCTGAGGCTGTTTAGGGGTGATGCCAGCGAGCACCTGATCCAACACAGATCCACCCTCACCTCTTCACACTGCCTCCGTGCAGAAGAAAGATATAGTATGCTGAAGAAAAATAGTGGTACAGACTCAAAGAGCAGAACTGATGCAACAAGGAAATGCAAGAATTGCTATTTCAAAACAGAGACTGAAGTGGGTTGGACAGGTGGGAGGTGAAAGTGGGATAGATCACACGGTTGATCAAACAGCATTGGGGTTTGAGGGGAATATCAGGAAGCATTCAGGACAGCAGAGACCCCGTGCATAAATTCTAAACAACCCACTTTTGTGAGAGCGGGTCTTCTTGTCTGACTTCAGCGTCGCATCCTTGACCCGATTGTGATATTCGATGAGGAAGGTCCTCTCGTGCTCGAAGAACTCATCGACTTCCTGGCAGGAGGAGAGGACGAACGTTAGCACACACCGTCTGTCAGAGTTTAGGGGAAACTAAATTCCCAAGGAGCAGTTTTAAATCCTCCTCTCAGGTACTTGACTGGATACAGGGGAGATCCCAGGGCACAAGGACCAAACCTCCAGGATAGTGGTCCATAGAGAGCTTTACTCTATCTAACCCCGCGCTGTCCCTAGGAGGAGTGTTTTTTTTTTGGAGGGGGTGGGGGGGGGGGGGCAGCGGTGGAGAACCAGTGCAGAGGGAAAATTGCAAAGTTTCTGTTTTTGCTCGATTTCCAGCATCTGCAGTTATTTCCGTTTGGTTACAGGGAAATTTACTTTCAGTTTACAACTGCAGTAGCAGGGAGCTTTACTCTTATTTTAACTATTTACAGATATTGTCTATAAGAAGGTGATAAGTTAACAGTAGAGCTCACTTCTCCAATATAAAAACAGAACGATTGCCACAAGGTCAGGACATACCTTAATTCCAGAGATGCCAGTTATTAATGCTTCATCTGCAGTCTTCACTATGTTCTTCAGAAAACCACCCAGGATCTCCTTCCTGTTCTTGCCACGGACACTTAGCTGTTAAGAGGAACAAAAAAAAGTTTAAAACATAAAACCACCAAAAAAGTCCAGATTTGCCAGCTCCTTTCCCCATCCTGGGGCCTTCCAAAGCTTCACACCCAATGGGGGACTCTGTGTAGAGTGTTCCGTGCTGTTATGTAGGTGGGGCAGCAACATGTGACTGTGATACGCACACACGCACCTTGTGTCCCTAATTGCCTAGAGGGAAGTTCAGAGTCAACCCCATTGCTTTGGGTCTAGAATCACATGTAGGCCCAGACCAGGTAAGGATGACAGTTTCCTTCCCTAAAGGACATTAGTGAACCAGATGGGTTTTTCCAGACAATCAGCAATGGATTCATGGTCCTTGTTAGATTCTTAATTCCAGATATTTAAAAAATAAAATTTAATACAAAATTCAACCATCTGCCGTGGCAGGATTCGAACCCAGGTCCCCAGGTCTAAAAGTCCAACGATAATACCACGAGGCCATCGCCTCCCTGTGTGATGTTGGATAAAGAAGGAAGGGGTGTACCCCAGCACTCCGTTAGCAAGGGGAAACCTGGGTTAGATGTTGGCAGCAATGACAGGAGGGATTAGTGAGGCAGATGTTTACCTCCAGCCAGGAAGTGGTTAGACCTACCTCCTGATCGTATTCCAGAAACACATAGAAATTGTGGTCCCCCCTGAGCTGTGGGTGAGCAGCCAGACGTTGCAGGAAGACCTCGTGCATAGCCACCGTCTTCTTAAAGATGGCCAGGTATTCGCTGCAAAGAGAAACAGAGAGAACAGACAAGAGTTAACAGGGTGCAACAGAGCAACAAAAAAGTAATTCAGGAGAAAAACAACTTCACCCAGATAGCAGGGTGAAGGATGAACCTACTCAAATAAAAAAAAAAGGAATGCTTGAGGTGAATTGTATCAGAAGCTCAGCAAACACGAGATTGGAATGGAACGACAGTGATGGGAGGTTTGGGAGAGACACGGGAACGAGGTGGTAGCTTGTATGTAGCCAGAACAGCAGCTGATGGGCTGAAGGGCCTCTTGCAATAGGACACAGATCCTAGAATCCCTCCATTGCACAAAGAGGCCATTTGAGTCTGCACTGACCCTCCAGAGGGCATCCCACCAATAGCCAGCCTTCCACCGTATCGGCTTAACCCTGCGTTACCATGGCGAATTACCCCAGCCTGCAGATTCCTGGACATTCTGGAGTTTCACAGAGGGGTGAATGCTCTCATCTGGCAATTTAGATGGGAGATGTGGGAAGGCGCCACAAGAGGCTGTGGACAGGTAGGGGTCAGTGTGCAAGAGTGTCTACGTGAGGACTAGAGAGACACACGTGGTGTCCTCCACCCCAATCCCCTTTCTCCCCGTGACCCCAGTCACTTACGATTCCAGCTCTTGCTTCATCTTGGCGAACTCCTCGCGAGTCATGGACCCGTCTCCCTCCCCAAGTTTCTGTAGCTTCTCCCGTGATGCATCAAAGTTTGGTTTGGGAGGGGCAGGAGGAATCTAGAAAAGAGAGAGGGGCGGGGGGAGGGGAAAGAAAAGCTCCAATCGTTGACATCACAGCAAGAGGAGAAACTGGCTTTTGATGTACACAGTGAGTGCTGTAACGTACAAGTCTCTGATCTCTGGTGCACAGGGAGATCCCAGTCTACTTCCAGCAGAGTGGCAAGTCACCCAGACAGGCAGTTCTCCTAATGACAGGCATTAGCTCCAGAGACAACACTCACCCATCTACTACCCCCACTTGATTACCAGGAATTTAAACTTTAAATTCCTTCACAGGACATAGGTGTCGCTGACCAGGCCAGCATTTATTGTCCATCCTGAGTTGCCAAGTCACTTAAAGGGTCAACCTCATGACTCCAGACCCAGAGCAAAGTGTAGGCCAAACCAGGTAAGGACTGTAGATTTCCTTCCCCAGAAAAGAGGGATCAGTAACTGAAGCAGATTATTAGACAATATTTGACAATGGTTCGAGGTCACTGTTAGCCTCAATAGCAGATGCCTTTGCTGAACTCAAATTTCACCATCTGCTATAGCAGGATTCAAATCCCAGGTCTTTGGATTAATATAGTCTAGCAAAAATACCAACAGGCCATCACCTTGCCCTATGGTGGGATCTTTTCTCCGTATCTAACCATGCTGTTCCTGTCCATGGAGTGTTTGATTGGGGGTTGGGAAAAGCAGTGTCAAGAGAGCTTTACTCAATCTCTGCTGGGAGTGTTTGCCTCACTGGGAACACCACACATACAAATAAAAAAAGTTAATAAAAAACAAAGTTATTTTAACCTGCTGTATCTGGTACAAACTCCTGGCTGTGGTCACTTACTATAATCCCAGCATAATCCTCATTTTCCACATACGCGTCATGAAGCCAAATGAACTCTTCATGTTGACGAACGACTGAGAACTCAGGCTGTTTGAAGTGAGCGAGATTCGTCTGCGACAGACAGGGAGAAGAGACGTTAGTGCCGTCAATGTCACTCTCACAATTTTACCACACACAGAGCAATGTGGGAACAACCCAAATAGTCTGTTTAGTGATGTTGGTCGAGGGATAAATATCTGCCCCAGGACCCTAGGGAGAATTCCACCCACCACTTTGCTGTCAGGCTTCATTAAAAAGGAGCTGAAAGCTCATGGTCTGTTACAGTCCCAAACATTCTGAGGCGCAAGTGCTCTGTCCTCAGGCTCACCCACTTGTTACAGCAATTTCTCCATACTGTCTTATTCCCCTTTTCCCACCTACCTTGGTGTGAACTGTAAACTTCACTTTGTCCCTCTCGCTGACTGCATCGGAGATCTCCACCTGCAGCGAGGAATCCGTCTGTAAATCCACCGACATGGTCCTTGACTGCACAGACCAAACATACACAGGCCTGAGAGCAGGTCATTAACCTACAGAGTTTGTGTTACACACTGTGAACCCAACACTGCAGTACACAACTTTAAACCTGTTGTGTACAGAGCCCCACAGAGTTCAGAAGGGAAAGATGTAGAGTCAGCATTACTCCGTATCTAACCCTGCACGGTCCTTGTCCTGGGAGTGTTGGAGGGGGACAGCTTAGAGGGAGTGTCATTTTCAGTTTAAAAGAAAGAGGCAGTTTTATTTTCAGGCTAACAGTAGCAGGAGCTGTGGTCTATTTAACTGCATTCTGGGGTGTGTTTGATGGGGGCAGTGTCAAGAGGGAGCTTCACATTGTATCACCAACATGGGACTGAGAGAACCAGAGTAGTAAACTAAGTATTTTAAAGACATTAAGACTGATCATTTACTCTCGACTATTTCCATTACAGAAACATCTTGAGCAGCTACATCTCTGTCCTGCTTTTGCCTTTTTTTTGGTTTAAAACGTGAACAATGTTGGTACAAATTGATCTTGCCCAGTTAGACCAGAGAGCATGGGGAGTCTACAAGGGTCAACCCAGCCTGAAAACTCATTACAGCAGATGAGAGACTCGATGAAGTTTCACAGCCAACAGTGAAACTTAGCGAGGCAATGGCCTAGTGGTATTATGGCTAGACTGTTAATCCAGAGACCCAGATAATGTTCTGGGGACATGGGTTCGAATCTCACCACGGCAGATGGCGGAATTTGAATTCAATAAAATATCTGAAATTAAGAATCTAATGACAGTGAATCCATTGTGAATTGTCAAGAAAAACCCATCTGGTTCACTAATTTCCTTTAGGGAAGGAAACTGCTGTCTTTACCTGGTCTGGCCTATGTGATTCCAGACCCATAGCAGTTAGGAGTCACATTGCTGGTTGACTCATAATTGCCCCTCTGGGCAATAAAGGCCAGCTCAGCTGATGACTTCCACATCCTGCAAATGAGTTAAAACAAAGAAACTGCACTCACTTGGTGACGCTCATCCTAAAATGGACCGGACAGTGGCGATAGGGAGTTTGAGATTGACAGGAAACATCTGAAATTTTAAAAAAGCCAACCAGATCTTGGATGCCATTGTGAGGGCCTGCCTCCAATAGTTTCCAAAACTCTGCAGTGAGCTGCCCAGGTTCAAGGCACACAGTGGAATTAATGTGGGGAGCGAACTTCTGGAGAAAGTGGGTACAGTTACAACATTTAAAAGACATTTTGGTAAGCACACAAACAGGGAGGGATATGTGCCTGGAGCAGGCAGGTGGGACTAGTTTCATTTGGGATTATGGCCAGCATGGCCTGGTTGGGCTGAAGGGTCTGTTTCTGCACTGTATGGCTATGACCGGTGCCTACCATCCAGATGTCAGGCGAGGCATGGAAAGGAATGGCAATGACATTTCTGCTGTCTGACCAGACCCACCCAACTCCCATGTGCGGATATTTGGGCACAGTGTGCATCACAGCTCACGCACTTCGCCACCCCCTCTCTTCTTCCTACTCCAGCTCCTTCCTTTTACCCCCAAACCCAACAGGAACAAAGTCGGGGGGGTGCAGGTGATGTGTCGCCACAGAACCTCTAGAAAGCACACAAGAATTTTTTCTTTTTTAAAAAAAAAGCAAGCATTTGGTGTCTGTTATCCTCATTTAACGTACACAAATGCATCAATACTCTCTTCTGTCAGAGAGGAAATACAAAAGCTTAAACACATGTACCAGATTCAAGAACAGCTTCTTCCCCACCATTATTAGATTTCTAAACAAGTCTCTCTAATTTCACATGTTGATCTTGCATTTTGTGCAGCCATAACCTTGTAATGCCTCACTGTCTAAACACTAATCATCTTTGTCTTTTTTGGTTATGATCTGCCCTGTACTGCATGCAAAACAATAATAAAAAAAACTTTTCACTGTACTTAGGTACGTGACAACAACATAATCAAAACAAAACCGACTACATCTCTGCTCTCTCAGCCTCCAGCAAGGCTGTAATGATAGGCCTAATTCGAACGGCTTTTACAGATTGAAATAGTTAACCCTTTCACAGGATGTGGGCACTACTTCCAAGGCCAGAGTTGGGTGCCCACCCCTAATTGCACCTCAAACCAAAATGTTTCATGCTAGCCATTTGAGGACAGTTAAGAGTCAACTACATTGCTGTGGAGTCACAGCAACATAGTCCAGACCAGTTATCTTCCCCTCCCATTAAAAAAAAAAAGGGGACATTGGTGACCTGGGTTTAAACAACGAGGATGGTCAGAATCACCATCACCAGCTTTCAATTCCAGAGATTAGTTGTTAATGTATTCATTGTTACTGTCCACAGCAGGATTTGAACTCCATGCTCCTATTCAATTGACTCTTGGCATCAATGCTGGTGGCTATTCACCACAGTCCGTTTTACCGTAATGCGGGGCCGTGGATGAGGCTTAGCATTCATCTGGCACTCCCTGGGGCAAAATGCCAAGCCTCAGATTAACCCAGCGGGGAGAGAAAAGGAAGAAAG